TGTTGCTAGACGTTCACCACCGTCTATATCAATCTATGATGAGTCTTGTGCAAGTGGGAGATTGAAAGATCTAGTATGCCCAAGAGTCATTATAGAATGATATTCCTAATAATATATGATCACATAGGGTCACACCATATAGCAAGTTACCATCATTTGATTATTTATTAGTATAACTTGATTATTAATAAATATATCAACACTTGCATTTAATTGGAAAATTATTATTTCATGGAAATAATATTTTACTAATTGGAAATTTATTATTTGTGGAAATAATATTTATTGGAGAAATGACAACTTATAAAATATGTCATAAAGTATGATTATTTATAAGTTTTATTTATATCTTAATAAACTAGTTAGAGTTTATTTATATAGAAAATGTAGTTTTATATAAAGGAGATATTTATATAATTATATGACTAGTTGTTTAAATATAAGAATCACTTTATATAAATGATAGCCTTTTATATAAAGTTGGTATATATATTTATATACTAGACATATAATGATGGAACATCCTTTGGTTCTATGCATTAACCCAAGGGCCGAAAATGGGAGGAGACAAGGCATGCGTGCCTTGTCTAATCCACCTCCATGACTTGTCTATTCAACCCATGCTTGACAAGCTAAAAGGTATGGTCTCTTCTTACTTTTTTGACCTATATAAATAAGAGACTTTCAAGGGTTGAGATGTAGTTCTTAAGCTTCTTTCTTCCTCTTCTTTGGCTAGCAAAACCGAGAGCAAAAGTGCTCCCAACAGGCTGCCAAATTTCGAAGTTAAAGCATCCTTCTTCTCCTCCATTCTCTTGCACTTGATGCTTAAAATAATGTCCCTTTGTTGCTTCACCTTTGAACATATATTTGGTATATATTTCAAAGGCTTATGAACAACAAATTACAAGTGAATACTAGCATGTTTTGATGGTTCTACACTTGATTGGTGGATACTTGTAGAGAACTCTTGCTTTAGAGTTTCATGCCACACTTCATCAACTTCCAACCTCCCATGAGGATCAAAGTCTTCAAAGGTTATTATGCTTCCCCTTCTATGGTTGTTTTAATCTTTCTAACTCTTGCAAAATGATCCTTGGTGGGTAAAATAGTTTTAGTTTTATTCAACATTTTAATGCTTCCGTTGTCAATTTTATCAGTTGTGAAACCGGATTTTTGATTAAAAACCCAACAGAGGAACGCTAATATACTTGGATAGCTGAGCGATCAACCATGAGATGATGGAGTTCGGATAGGTAAAGCCATCCAGAAATAGTAAAATACATATGTTCATATTAAAATAACTATTCAAATGATTAAGTATGTCTCATTTATACAAGATTAGGAATATCAATATGCTCCCACTGGTTCTTAGTAAAACAAATTTGTTCTTTTCAAATTGGTATAAAAGCATACCTTGTATCTTCATATTAAAATGACTATTCCAACCTTAAGATATTTGATTTATATCCACAAGTGGATCTTAAGCCTTATACATTTGGTTAGGATAACATGGATTAAGAAAACCTCTAGGCTAAACTTTATAGATATCTTCTAGTAGACGTCTATTAAGAAAAGAGGTCTTTCTTGAAATCCATTTGCTATGTCCCATATTAAGAGTATGAAGTAATAGTAAATAATATCGTTGCGTATCTAATCATATCTACATGTGAAAAGGTTTGATCATAGTCAATGTCATGAGTATGATCGGGACCTTAGTTAATGACACGAGTATGATAAAATCCATTTATGACAAGCCTTGCTAAATGTGTATGATATCCATGTATTTATGCTTTTGTAAAAGAATCTCCTACTCCTAGTCTTGCTATAAAGAGGAAGATTAATCAAGCCTAGACTTGATTATCATACATGAATTACATCTCAATGTTCATGACTCTAAGTCATTTATCAAATTCAAGATTTGATATAGCATCTTGGTAGTTGATGGATTTGGAAGAAACCATCAAGAAGAACTCATCAATGAGAGATTCCACATTTCTCAAATCAATGACGATTTCTACAATTAATGGGAGCAGTTAGTGTTTGTGAATAGCTATTTATGTAACATCGTGATTTTTACCATAATTGTTTTTCTTTTTAAAACATTTATTTAACAGAATACGTTAGCGGAAAATTTAGTTTTCTTGTTCAAAAGATTTTCAAAACCACAACGTTACTTCAAAAATTTCAAACATAATTCCAAACCATTTAAAATGTAAACAAAAGTACGTTAAAGTAAATAAACAAAAACGTGTCCAAGAGTGGTATCGTTAATATAAATCTACTACCCATAAGAACCCCTCTCACCAAGGTCAATCTTCTAAACTGCCTGCACCAATCCTAAGGCACAAAAGAGAAAAGATACAAGTGCCAGCCCTTGCTGAGTGAGTTCATAAAGTTTCACATAAAACATACAAACCCCAAATGGGTCAATCATTCATTTTACGATGAAGCATAAAAGTGTTAGACAAGTAAAAGATAGCAAACAACCACATAATATAGTTAACTAGTCATATATTCCACCGCATACATGCATAAATGTTCGACCGCAATTCTACCACATAACATATATAATCAACCAAATACCATATAAACAAACGAATAACATGTAAACAATCACATTTCATATATAGATAACCTTTACTTGTTCAACCTTTTTTTAATAACCAAGCTTTTGTTACATACTCAAACTTTTTATATACAACCAACATTTGTTATATATTCAACGTTTTATTATATCTATCCAATCGATTGATAGAAAAGTGTCCCTTAGTGCTACCTAACCCAAGAGAAACACTGTGTTCACTACGTGTGTGCACGGCCAGCCGAATGCTCTAATTAAGTGGCTCATGACTTCCACCCAAAACACCAACCCCATGACTCCACTTTCGCTACTCCGACTTTGCAAAGTACAAGTACCCTGCGGTGTCGTTCAAGATCAGTACAAGCGGTGTCAATTCTACCAATACACCTCCCGATTCCCACGTGATGTTTGCGCTGGCTGCGAATGAGGGACCAACATCACTGCAGCCTACGAACACCAAAGTGCCTGCAACCCATGTGTCGCACTATCATCTAGAAAGACCGGCAACTAACAACCTCTGTGGCTATAACTCTTCCTATAGGTACTCTTTCAACCTAGTAGGCACCCTCAATGATCCGAATAAGGTTTTAGGCAAAGGTCATCAAACTACCCAAACCCACTACGCATAACCCCACAATGTCATTTACACATTAAGTAAAACATGTAATGCATACCATATAAATGTGTATTAAACATGAAATGTATTCATAACCAACACATCAAAACACAACCATACATCATATTTCAAGCAACTTAAGCTAGCATGATATATTCATCAAGTTCATCAAAGTGAAAGCAACATAACAATTAACTCGTAACATGGCATTAGCACAAAGCATATATTAGCATCACAAATATCATATCATCATTAAGCACAAGTAATGACATGGTCATACTAAAGTGAATCAAATCACCATCTACGGATTGCACGTTTCAATCATGCAGCCTTAGTGAGTTAAAAGTATGAACTTACCTTTAGCCTTGATGAAATCTTCCTTCTATTCCAAGTCATGAACTTAATTGAAGTTCTCAAGGCCCAACCTAAACTCCACACACAACATTCAATTAACAAATAAAGTATATGGCTCAAAAATACAACTTTATTCTAGCTTTTATATTATTTTTTTATAATTCCCCAGCCCGACCCCCATTGAGTATTTTAATCATAAAACCAAATCTACAGATCTAATTGGGACGAAATCAGACTTTATGGAAACTAGACTCGATTTCCTATAACTTCATGAGACAGGAGTATCTTCCAATTCTGCCCAAATTAGCAGCTATAGCTCTTGCAAGATGGGGAAAAGTTGTGCAAAATTCCAACATTCACCAAAAATCACCATATGCTTCTAGGCTTTAGGTAAAGGATTATAACCACTCAATTTTACACACAAGAGGATTGAATAATAGTATTAAGACATCAGTTGTGTACTTTATCAGAATATCAAATAGATGACACAAAATTTTTGAGAGTAGAATGCCTAAAGATATAGACGAACGTTTATAACAAATGACCCGTAACAATCACCTGTTCAAAGCCATTTTAACACCAACAAGGTCTGAGAAATATACAATATTTATGTATATTCCAGTATTTTAGACTCTTAGCTTTTCATAAAGTACTTTTGAAGGTCCAAACGATTTTTCTACAATTTTATATGATTTTCACAAAACGGCCTATCAATGCAGCTAAATTCTGACCAGCTGGTGGGAAAGACGATTTTCACCTAAGTTGGAGGAAACAAGAGGTCCTGGAAAAAATCATGGACAAACTGGACTCGTATTTCAAACTTTGAGAATTTACGGGTCATTAATCCGACTTCTGATAAATTTTCTAGATTTTTTTTGAAAACAGGGACAGATTGATAATTTTGCTGAATTTTCCAGCTTTGTCTTTCAAGGACTTTTTGACCACTTAACCTATTAAGTCATAACCCCAAAGCACCCACAAAGATAAAAATTGAATTCGTAACTTGTCAAGAAACAATTAATAGCAATCCCACCCTCACACCAAGGTTCAAATTAGTAATCAACAAAGAAAACATGATCTCCAAAACATGGAGTAATACGTGAACACGAACTAAGAATTCTTGAGGGTGTTCATAACCTAGTTTTGCAAATAATAAACCATCAAAATATACCCAATAGAAATAGAATTAAACATATGAACATTCAAAGATTGTAAGGAGAAAGAAGGTGTGATCAATAACACCAAAGAGAAGACAATTGACCCAAGATTTCAACCAACACATTATTACATACCATTAATTGTTAAAATCCTGGTGAACAGGAATGTTTCGCCAATTACATTTGTGCCACCAAACTTTCATTGCTTTCCTACATTTGCAACACTGGTAGGTTTAACATTTTCGCTTGCAACTTATCTACATTTACTTTTCCTCTCGTTCTTATTTGCACACGGAAGTATTTGCCTTTCTTATTTTGCCACTGAAACTTCTACTTCGCCTCTTCTCGCACAAACCGCCATAGAATTTGTCGTCGTTATCTTCTCTTGGCTTCTTTGCGTTTCTATTTTGCCTCCGCGTGCCTCTTTCTTCTTATCTCAGTTTGCTCCCAATTTGATCAGGAAAGTCTTCCATGTCTCTAAGCCCCTTCCAGTCGTTCCATTTTCTTTCTTGCAAATTAATCCACCGACTATTTCATTTTCTTTCTTCCAGACTAGAAAGATGATGAAGACAGCAGATGCGTCGCTGCTGCTGGTGGTCAGCGACGGCGTCACCGGAGTGCACGAATGGCACCAAAGCTTCACCGGACTACCAGTGCTATATAATCGTCTTTCCACTGTGTAAGTTCTAGGGTTGTGAGTTTTTTTTGTGCGATTGTTAAGGAACGACCTTGACATGTAAACAAGAGGAGGTCGATTTGGTTCTGTTTTTTCTGTACAATAGATAAACTTTGCCTCTCTTTGTCATTTGTTTAACTTAATTTGATTAGAAGTAGAAAAGAAGATGGGTAAGATTCCAGTTCTTTTTTGTTCTGATATCGCATGCCAAGTGTTTGTGGTATTGCCTCAATGAGTATACCAATTTTTTTTGCTGAAGGTCTATGAATTTCATGAAGGTTTTTTTCGGTTTAGGGCACCTTCTCTACTTTTTAATTTATACGGATCTTGATGTAGGGATATATTGATCAATAATATAGAATTTCAGTTTCACATTACTTTTCAGTAATTTAGTTATTATATTTTCATAGGTTAGTCCTGTAAATGATTTCATATTTATCTTTTTTAAAAAGGTGTTGACTTTATTCAATACCGCCCAATAGTGATGATGATATTCCAATAAGTTTGTGGAAATTGAAAGTGTTCTCCGTTCCGTTGCCTTCCAAATTCTGATCTCCATATGTGGTTAGAAAACCGCTATCAAAAATGGCTGGAAAAAGATGTTTACATTGCTGTTGGGATGTCGTCCTCAATTACAGCTATTCCAGACACACACACCATACCTATATGCTGCTTTCACTTCATTTCCAAAAAACAAATTCCAGAGTATGTGGATCAACATGCAGGTTCTCATTTCTTCTATATACATCACACATATTACACGCCTTAAACAAAATTAATGTTTATATCCTGTCTAACAAGTTTTAACTTATGCAGTCTGAAATATTGTTTTTCACTTCTAGACTTTGTAGGTGTGTTTAGCAAACTTATTAAGTGCACAAAGAAAGATATAAAACCATATCTACTGCTGATTCTGAAAAACAATTCTTAAGCATTTCTTTCTCCTGCTATTATTCTTATACAATACTAATAAATATCAAACCTATAAACATTAGTGGTGATGCCATTGCAAATAAGTTTGTGGAAAGAATGTACCAACATACCTTCAAAGTTCGATCGTGTTTCTCTTGAAAATGCTCCTGCTCCTGCTGTTGTTGCTATAAGCAGTGTAAAAATCTCGAATTATCCCGGTAAGTCCATCTTATTTTCCTTTCAAAGTCATAAATATACATAAATAGAATTCCCACCTACCTAATTTAGATGTTTTGATTAACAAATGACATAAAGGGTCATTAAGACTTGGCACAAGCAGCGCAAGTCACTTGTACATCAACCCACCAATTCCGGAAACAACAATTCTTATAGACAGGTATTTTCATACATACAAATACAACAAAAATAGATCTACTTCCATTATCATCGGTTTATTATGCTGCAGTTATGGAACTTTTCAACAGTCACCAGTCAACTTTGATTCCCCAACACTATTATCATATATATTACAGAAAACTTATTCAGATCTTTCGGTATGTTATATATCCACATACATATGAAAAAAAATTAATATCTCTGTTTTCATACAAATAATAATAATTTTTGCATTGTAGAGGACAAAATATTCACTGCAGAGACGGAGAATAAGAACGCAGCAGCAGACACGATTAGGATTTTGAAGTTCTGATGAAACAAACCGTAGGCACTTTTTTCTTTCCTATGCTACAGCTTCCTTCGTTTTCTTTTTTGTTTCTATTTCACTCTCTTTGTAATTACCAATGGATTTACACAGAGGTTCAGTTTATCAAATTAATCAACCATGGTGGAGGATTTGATGTAACTGTCACCGGTCTTTTTGATTATTTTTATTAAACGAAGCATACATCACAAAAAATGAACCGATGTTTCTTTCCTTCACATTTCTCAAGTATATGTATTTATTTTAATTTTTTTACCACTTCATCACTGGAAATGAAGACTTTACGTTCAGAAAGTAGTCGTCGGTAGAACCACATGTACAAACGACTGGTAAATATAAAAGTATTGGTGATCAGTTGCTTACAATATTGCTACATAACGTCTATTTCTCAACACAAGCGTGAACTTAGTTGTTGTTCCCTTAATATTGATGTTGTATCAGAGTAATAAATTTGATTTTTGTTTTACAGGTTAAAAGAAGGAAGATATTGAGAGATGGATCTGGATATTGTCAAGCATAATTGTAAGTTATGAGATTATTCTCCTTTACCATTGTATTTTTTATATTGTTTGTTCTTAATTTTCCCTTTGTTCCGTTTAGGACTGCAGGAGTTTTTTTCCCGATGTGTGTTGTAGCGCCTTCAACTTTATGAAGATTAACTGCAAGTGGAATAGAATCTATGGGCTGTCGATTTAGAAGTACAGTTTGTTGTCAATTTTTACACAAGTAGTTTCTCATTCTTTTCTTGGTCCACAACATTTTTTTAGTTAGAACATTTTCTGAATAACCACTTTTTGTCATGTTGGATTCTTTTGCTAAAATTATTAATGTTTTATCTGTCAAATTGCTTAGTATTTGTCATGAAAATGTCGATGCTCAACAAACAAAGAATAATAAATAGAAATGAAAGTAAGATGTTATATTAAAAAAATAAACAAAAGTACATTGCTATTCCATGTAAGTGTGACTCTGGAATACATTCGGGTGCTGTTCATTGTCAGCTAATGGATGTTGCTCATCCTGGAACTGTTCTGATGCATAAACTTAATTTCAATGCCAAAACTGAATACCACATGATTCAGAATTACAACGTTCTTGGAAATGTTTTCTTTTCAATTTGAATAAGACTGTAATTGCTAAATTTCAAAAGCAGTGGTCATTGATTTTCAACTGTTATTATAATTTTCATGAATTTTAGCAACTAATCTTTGCTTTTGTAAGAAAATACACATCTGATTGATAGAGTTACTCATTCAAGAAACTACAACCAAGCTGATGATATATCACTGTATCTTTTATATATATATATATATATATATATATATATATATATATATATATATATATATTTAATAAACAATAATGAAATGCTTATAAATGTATTTGTGTAAACGGAATTTGTTTTGTGGGAATAATGTTCTTATTGATATGAGCATACATTCTGCATATGTCATGGATATTCATGGTGCCCAACATTTCATCTATATTGAGAACCAATATTTTATTGTTATGGTATGGGTCTTTGATCTACTTCTATTACTACTCCCACTCAAGAACTAAAGTTTGGCATATTTGGTTTTAGAAGGGGACACCATGAGGGTGAGGAAGTGGAGAAGATTTTGTTCTTCTTCCTACCTGATTTGTCATTTCCATCTCAACTTTATGTCAATGGTATCAATGAAGGGCTTCAGGTAAGGACAAAATTTTCGACTTTTGATGTCAAAGAAAGTTGAAATTCAACTGTCTGTTTTTTTTTTGTTTGTTTGACAATTTACTTATCTGATAGTTAACTACCTGGAATTCAGTGTGATAGTAACCATCACTTTTCCGTTGATGATAACGGATCTTATGAAGAAGAGAGGCAGAAAAAAATCTGATGTGGATTTGTTTTTGTGAACGCAGTGGTACCACAGTTTGAAAGAGATGGTGACGATTTATAGCAACCTCATAATGGGAAGAAATATTACAGATTTGGGTTTAGGTTCATTGTACATTCCTATAATTATATATTAAAAATGAATTTTAACTTTCTTTATGGATATTTCAGATGCTTAATTGTTTGTCAATCTTAAATATGTCAAAAAGTTAGATAAGATCTTAAAACACGTTTTTTGTGTTTGAAATTCTTGCACATGTTGTAGAGGTGACAAATTACTTATTTACCCTTTTCACATCTGGATATGGACCCCTGGATGTTGGGACAAGACTTCATGTTGCTAACAAATGAATGATGAGATTTCTCTTTCGTGACAAGATTTTTTTGCTTCTCAGCGTAAAGCATCTTTGAAAACAATATAATTATTATAGCATTGTACTTTCTAACTTTCTTTTTCAATATGTTAATATAAAATTTACAAGCGCATTTAGGCAAACTTGATCCAACCCGGCGCCAATGGCGCAGGTAATTCCCTACTAGTTAGAAATTAAAGTAGAATTACATGAGGAATGAAGAATCAAGAAGTTACCAAGATTTTTGATAAAATTTCAACCTCAATTAAACTCCCCAACACAAACCCGTCGACCCTCACTCTCCTTTTCCTCAAGATCGATGTTGCATTCCTCTACAACCCTTCACGTTCGTTTTTTTTCTCCTCTCGTGCAGGGGCGGACCCAATAATTTTCCGAAGAACGGACAAATTTTTTTTATAACTTTTTTATGGGGGGCAAATTTTTTTGATGAGTCAAAATATATAATTTTGAAGGGTTGAAATATATATATTTTTTTTTAAAAAAACCTATTGATTTTTTATTATTATTGTTTTTTTTTTTTTTGTGGGGGCAATTGCCTCCGGTGCTCACTGTAGGACCGCCAATGCTCTCGTGGCGATTGATGCACAACACATGAAAGAACAAAATCCCAACGAACCAATTGAATCGACTTCTTGATTGTACGATTTAAGCCGAACAGAAAATAACGGACCAATCCATATTATGCATTAATCTTCGTATGCCGAACCCAAGAAAAGAAACGAATTTTGTATTTATGGTATTTACGTAGCTTGAAGGGTTTTAAATTCCAAATCACAACATCAGCCCTTTATCCTTGCTCCATTGTTCATATTTTACCTTTTACTTTTGTTTGAATTAATTCTAACCCTCACTTATATTAAACATTTGGTTTATGTAATTTAATTTAATTATATAATTTATAAATATTGATTAATTAGTTAAAATATTACTTAAAACCATTTTAATTTAATTTATAATCATAAAACCAAAATAATCATACGAAAACAAATGTTTGTCTAACAGAAGATAACACCGTTCACGGAAACAAATTCGGGTGGTTACAATTATTCAAGTTCAAAAATTCATTGTTGAAACTAGTGTCAACAATTAATACATCATGTTATGCTATGGTTCTTGAGCTTCTTGAAGTTCCATGTGCCTCCCATTTGCTTTGTAACTCAATATTCAGAAGAATAAGAGAAATTTTTCTTTGATGAGTTTGTATCATCTAAATGCCCTTTTAGAATATTCTACATACATGTAATTTGTTGGTGTTTGTATTTAAGATACAATTACTAATGATTAAGGTATAATCCCAATAGCACAAATGAAGATAATTTCTACTGATTAGAAAGTAAAATTTATCAGTTTAGGTCTAGTTCATTCTTTATTATCAATTCAAGCCTTAGATGGTGTTACTGGATTGTATCTCAACTTTATGTCTTAAACTTCAACAAAAGTTTTGCAATTATGTATTACCATGGAAAATATAATTAAAATTACTATTGTTATTAATAAAGCTGATTTGGTATCTTATATTAAATCATAGACATTTATTAAAAAGGAAGTCATACATCATTGTATATAGTTCCTTAATAATTATTTTCTTTACGAATTAGTGAAAAATATGATTAGGAATCTTATATATATAAATAAGATTCACTTATATCAAATAAACTAAGTTATTTTCCTTCAAATATCTATTTATTGAAGTTAGAATATGTGGATAAAAATGTCACAAATACCATTGGTTCAAAAAAAGGTGAAGTCAAACGTGCTCGCATTTAGAACACACATTATTCCAACACAAACGTTGTTTTATATTACTATTAATTTATGTTCTAAACATAAACATTGAACGAAACCATAAGAGTGTAGTTCCAACTTACTTGTGCTCAACTGGTTACTCTTCTCTAAATATCTGCAAACTAGTTACAAATATTAGTTTAACATTTAAGTACAAAGTACTTGAGTGTTATATGAAAACTATAAGTTCTAACTAGTAGATACTTGAAGTAGTAGTCTCTTCTAGACTTTCTCTCAGAGAAGTGAATCAGTTTCTCTTCCAGTGTCTAGTTTCTCCAGAAAATAAACAAGATCCATCTATGTGCACCTTCTTGGATTTCTTAGAATTAAAGATGTTCGGTCCATAATACATAGGCTTCATAGATCACACAAGGTGACTCTTTTAGCCTTGCATAATTCCATTATTTAAACAAGTTTAAAACAAATAATACTGTATTTATTGGGATATTGCTTAACATGTTATATCACCATATATATTTCTAAATTATCCAAGACTTCCTAAAATTCAGGAATAACTATTCCTAGTATGATGTTAGAAGCATATTGAGCATCGCAATGATGTCGTTACTAGGTTTCATGTTCAGGTATATTGCTCAAAGCAGTTTTTTTAGGACTCGGACCTTTAAGTGTATACAGTTTCACATCTCACATGAGATTTTCTCTCAGGACGTGAACCCATTCATTGGACTTGCATTTATTGAATGTTATTGTTTTATCAGGTCATTTAAAGGAAATGATTATTCATAGTTATGACGGTGGACTATATACCTACAAAATGTTTAACAAAATTAATTTAGTATTTTCAATATTTAATTTTTAATAATTAATACCCTTTTAGTGTCAAAAAATTTTAATTATCATAGTCTAGGATCGAAGTTGCAAAACAAATAAATCGTTAAGTGACCTGTATCCCATTCATTACAATTCAACCTAGTTGATATTGGTTATCAATTATATCTTACTATATAATTCCCAAATTTATGGAATCGCTAATAACAAATTTAACTAGACATGTTTGATCCAATCTATGCTACATAACTCTCTTGCTTAGGTGACCTCTATCATAAAATATTTTCAATCAAATCATCCAATTTGAAAAGCATGTGTCATTGGTCTATAACTTGGTTATAGAAATCACACATTCCCAATCAAAAGATAACACTAAGAGGTTAGGTTACCTTTATCCCAATAGTGCATACAAGATATGTGCGAGTGTTCTTTTAAAAGAATTTCATATATTTGAGGTTTGTAATGGGTCTTTGATGTTTTTAAAATTCTAGTTTAAAAAACATATTATATCATGGTTATTGCAGGTATTCAATAAACCATTGTATACTTTAAAAAATCTTATTTTATGTAAAAACCGCATGTTAACATTGTTCTTCTATAAAATCCGGTTTTATAAAGTTGACACGATCAAATTTTAATAGTGTGTATTAAGTCGACGATTGAGCGCTTTAGAGTATTTGTAAACTTTTTAATAAAACTTCCTTTTATAAACGTTTGGAGTTTGATAAGTTTACAAATATCTATTTTAAACTTATATGACTTTAAATTCAAAATTTTAGCAATTAGTAGTTTTAACGATAAAACATGTTTTATTTTAAAACTGTTTTACCATCTTGTGTTAAAAGGTAAATTTCATTAAAACCAAACTCCTTTGTGATGTTTATTTATGTGAAAATATTATTTTGCAATTGAAAAACTAATTTATCAACCATAACATAATAATAATAACATAAACATAAAACAACACAAATATGCTATAAACATATGTGTATAAACAAAGCCATAAACTAGTAACATTTTTGTTAGCCTTAACAAAAAATATCAAGTCTATTCCGAAAGGGGCATAATGGACCTTTATCTTGTAAAGTCTTTTTGTACTTCCACTTGCTTTAATACCTCGTAGCAAATTTATAAAAATAATTTTATACAGTTTGAGAAACTTTAATAAAATGAAGTTTATAAGCTTTTGATTTTCAAAATGGTCACCATGTTCATTCTTGTTAAATTTTATAAAAATAATATATTTCTAAAATTAATATATTACTTACAAAAATTAACAAATGAAAACTATCTATATAATTGAATAAATAAATAATTACAACCATTTTAAATAAATCAACACATGCAACAATGCAAAGGTCCATGACTTGTTTATGCACATCATACACATTTATATACTCAAAAATTTTTATAAAACAAGTCCTTGTTTTTTTAAGACAACTTTTATGACTAAAAAGATGCGTGTAGAGTTTTAGTTAAAAAAAATTATAATTGTTATAGAAAATATGAAAGAATTTTTCTTTCAAAGAGTAAACCATCCATATTTTCCCAAAAACAGAGATTTCATCAAGTTAACAAATAATCTAACTAATCTTGCAAAAATAGATTTGATACCAATTATAGAGTTCTTATTCAAAAATTGTTTCAAAAACATAAACAATGCAAAGGAAGACTTAAGATTTCAAAAAATAAAAATAAAACTAGTTTTATTCCCACCAAAGGATCATTTTGTAAGAATTAGAAAGATTAAAAAACCATTGAAAGAAAAGTGTTGCAACCTTTGAAGACTTTGATTCTCATAGGAGATTGCAAGTTGATGAAGTGTGGCATGAAACTTGAAGGTAGAATTTCTCAAGAGATATCCACCAGCAATAAATCAACTTGATAACATGCTAGTATTCTTCTAGTAATAAAAGAATGTCTTAAGCTCTTAAGACAAATAAATTAGTTTTCCTTAAAAGAGAGTATTCAAGTATCAACTTTATCTTTATGTTCTTAACACTTTAAGAGACAAAAACTTAAGAGAATATGGAAATGGGAAGTCACAAATTTCGTGGTTTCACTTAGTGAAAGAAGTGAGAAAACTAGTTCTCTTAAATCCTTACTTTAAGCCTTTATCCCGTGGGTCTTAGCACTTTAAGACCCATGTTTATCAAATCAACTAGCCTTGCTTTCTAAGAGCATAGTGTGTTGAATAAATCAATCAAAAGCAAGTCTTCTTTCTTCTTTATGATCTCCTTGAATATTTCATAAAAAGATGAAGCTAGTTTTTCTACAAAAACGTTTCGAATTTTTATAACGTATAAAACATATAAATCCATATAAGACAAAAAAACGCTTTTGGTCTAAAAAGATGTACACGACATAGTAAATCATACCTTATGATATATTTTGATACTTAAC